GATACAGAGGATGATTCCAGCGTTGTTTCAACATTTTCTTACTTTCCTGCTCCTTGCGTTTTAATCACAGTCTATGGTTTTAATGCACCCAATTCATATCTGCACCCCATTCTGCTGCCTAGCTAGATTAAAAGACACTTCACTTAAGTGTGATTTGATCAGTCAGTCACATGATCTAGTTAAGCTGAATAATAAAACTTAATTCATCAGTGTCGTTAATGCTGAGCGAACCAATGAACTGCATCACCAGCTGCAGCCTCCAGGATCAACAGTGATGATCTACATCTCAACCAAAAGAAAAAGTTGTGTAGGCCCCAGCGAGATTTGAACTCGCGACCCCTGGTTTACAAGACCAGTGCTCTAACCCCTGAGCTATGGAGCCTGTGGTGCAATCAGCGTCGGCAAAACACCAATATAAAATCAAATTCATTACATTACCAACGTATGGTGATTTCCATGATACGGGATGCGACTGCAGCGTTCTCCCCACATGACCACAACAACAACAATGTAGGTGGAGTGCGTGTGACGTTGGAGCCTCTACAGCCACTACATTGAATTGAGATCTTTCACCCACTGGGTGGCAGCATGCGTCCATCTTGGACAGAGGAGGCTGATCGCAAAGTGCTTCGAGGTGGATGAGGTTTGATTCCACATGAAAACACTTCCATCATGTAGAAGTGTGGTGTGACGGTGCTTGTGACTGGGTCAAACTCTGCGCATGCAGCAGAAGCGCGTGCCGCTGGATCAGCAGGGACCCTCGCATGAAATGTTTTGGGAGTCTGTCTTTCTATTGGCTGACGGGACTCGATTACCACGGGGGTTTCTGGGCGTGGTGCGGAGAAGGAGTCGGGGGGCCGCCGTCCACCATGTCCCCCCCCCCCCCTGTAGCCCCACATCAAGTGCTCCTGCTACCACATGAAGATGGACGCGAATGGATAGTGTTAGGACCAACATGGCGGAGTTTATTCCAACTCGTCGCGGACACATCATTCACCTCCCGTAACTTCTCAGTGTGATTCTGGTCCCGCTCTGTCCGGATCACTTTTTATTCTAAAGAGAAATAAGTCATGTGCGTCCAGCTGGGGTAAAGGGGAGAGAAGGAAGCAGCCATGGTGGAGCCGAAAGAGTTGATCCATGAAGAGGTCTGAGACGGTCCTGGATTCTACTTTAGAGGAGAGAGGACCCGGACTTTCATTTTTAACAGGTGAGTGTCGGAAGTATTTAAATGGATGTGTCCATAGACTAACTACCATGGAAACCAGTGCAACAACACTGACAACTAGTCCCAACACTGTAGTAAATCCTGACATGAAGCTGACACGGGAACAAACGCTTAATAACAATAATAATAATAGTAATAATAATTTAATAACACGTTAAAGCGTCGCCATGGGCCCAGATGTGCAATGACCGGTTTGTTTGTAACACAAGCCTCCGGTGTTGTGCTCATGTTCCCGGGATCCAGACCAGTCGGACCGGTTCTGCTCCCTGGCTGGGAGTCGATTCAGTGGATCTGAGGTTGCGCTGTTGGAAGCCGCGACTTTCTCAACATTTCGTGTGCGCTGAACTACGAGATAAACACACATCGGAGCCGTCGAGGCTAATGTCCGGATTTCCACGCCGATAAACGAGCAGTTCCTGCTCCACAAGAAAGAAACAAGCCAAGTGTTTGGTGCTTATTTTCGCCGCAGCGAGGAGGTTTCTTCCACCGTGTCCGGACCAACACAGGCCGCCGCTGGAGACAGACGACTCGCCGGAGAAGCTAACAGTGTCTGGGGCGAGGAGCAGCGAAACACAACCTCCTCAAGCCGATTTATTTTCCATTTTGTTGGCGGCTGGGCTTGAGCTCGTACTACGGTGTTGTGAGACGGACCGTGGCCTCCCTGTTTCCTCGGCCGTGCGAGGAGCTCGACTCTCCGCAGAAGAATGTGCCGCTTTCCCCCGGAGTTAGCTCAGCCGCGGCTCCATGTAAGAAACCTGGCTTTGTTTTAGCTCCGGGGTGCAGCCGGCCTGTATTCAATAATCAAGAGGCTGAACGATAGTCACACACAGAGGAAGGGCCACAATAAAACACACATATCACATAAAAGAGTGTTGTGTTCAAATGACACCTTGATCCTGGGTGTTTGGCCTCAGTCTGCAGCAGCCAGGCTCTGTTGTGGCACACAAACCCCCGCTCATCTCTCGGGGTCTCCGCGATGCTTCGAGCTAACTACGCGGTGTGTTTTGTGGTGTTTCACCGTGTGTCTTCTCCTCCAGGGCCAACAGTAACAACATGCTTCTGGCCTCAGCCGTGGTGGTGTGGGAATGGCTCAACGAACACGGCCGGTGGCGGCCCTACAGCCCCGCCGTCTCCCACCAGATAGAGGCGGCCATACGGAGCAGCGACCCCCGCGGAGGGAGCGTGGTCCTCGGCCAGGTGGACAACCGGCTCTCGCCGTATATCATAGACCTCCAGTCCATGCACCAGTTCAGACAGGACACAGGTGAGGCGGGGGAGGGTGAAGCTGGATGTGATGAAGGTTTGGAGGGGTGCTCTCCCTCTGGATGACATGTTTGCTTCTTATTCACGATGCAGGGCCACACAACTTCCATGGTGGTATAGAAGAGTGAAATGCTTTCATGGCAACTAAGTGTGTTGTGCTTCACTGAACAAGTCGTTTTTCAGTTTCTGTGTTGTTTTCTTGTGATCGCCTCTGTTTGGCTCCACCTCATATCAAAACATCAGGTGATTATTTGACATACAGCTCATCTGATCAAACCTTAACACATACTTTTGCACGGGTCTAACCTTACAGCGAAAGATGTAGACTGCAGTGTACCATGCTTGGTTGTTGGTACATTGAGAGAGTAACATCAGGGGGACAGGGGATCCGTTTTGACAGAAGCAGCAAAACACATTACATGTTTTCTTTGCTTATTCGGTGACTTTTTATGTGGCAACCGTGCTGTTATCAGCAAAATCAGTGGGGTGATTAGCATAAACTGATTTGTTAACCACCACATCCTCGGTGGCTTCCACAAATTCAACTTGAGCTGCATCAACATTCATAACAGAAACGTTTTACTTGGCTGGTTTAGTGTTGGTCCATGTCTGTTTACCTGTGTTAGTGGGTTCCAGGTCCGTTGTAATTGTCAGTGATGTTTTAGATGAAGAAAGTATCTTGCATGATGCAACAGCTTTTCAATGGTTTAGACGTCTGTGTGGATATTCTGTCAGAGGGTGGGTGGATTGGGTTGAGAGCCAGCAGCATGATGATGTGAGGCAGCTGCAAATGACCATTGCACCACTGAGCCCCACTTAGCAGCATTCTTTAGCACTTATCCACAGGCACTACACACATGCATGCACACAGGCGCATAGCAGCTGCACAACGGTCATATGAAGTAAAGAAACAGAGACCTTGATGCTGTGGATAGAATATTTCAGGCCCAATGAACAGGGAGTTCACTTGAGTTGTCCTTCCTCTGTCACTAAGCTAACAATCTCCCCCACTCTCTGCCTGGGGTCTTTCATCCCTTTGCCACTGTTCCTCTCTCTTGTAGAAATGTTTCAGCAAAAGTCGAAAGTCTCAATGATCTTTTAGTTTTGGCTTCAACGGGAGAGATAGAAAGATATGAGTGTATGTTGTGGTGGTGTCGCAGGAAGAATGAGATAATTGGGGAGTCTTCTGTATTCCGTCCATCTCCCTCCCCGTCTTTCACTCCTCCACCATTGTTGGATTTCGTTGAACAGATGTGAGTTACTCCATTGTGGCTGTGAGACACACACACACACACACACAAGAGGGGAAAGTTTAAGGGTTCTGAGAAGCAGAACAGCCCCCAGAGGCAGAGGGGGGGGTTATTAGGTTTTGTCAAGTTCACATCAGTTGAAGATGAAGGGAAGAATGAAAGACAAAAACTGAAAAAGAGAGCAATCACAGATAAAGTTGTGAACTGGTGGTTATTTCGTACCGGGAAAGTACCTGCAAATGCCATGGCCTGATGCTCAAGTGTCTTTTTCTTCTATTTTTCTATTCTATTCCTCTATTTCTATGCTTCCATTTGACAAGCGTCTTTGAATTTGCAATTAGTTGTCAACATAGCAGGGTACTCATCTTTTAATCCAGCACTGATAAAACAACATGCATAACAAATACTACTCAACATTTATGTGATCACTGCTGAGTTTGATTCCAGGGAGAAAGCCATGCATGACTACTAAATGGCATGACTACTAATAGTTTGAGCAGGTTGTTTTGGCTGAAAACAAACTGTGTCATCATCATCACTACCGTCTGACATCAGACACCTCACAGCACACAGACTGGTGTGATAAAGTAAAGTTTACTTGTGCAGGGAACTCTCACAAATACAAACACATAGTAAACACAGCCAAATATGTCAAATATGTTTGTTGTTATAGTGTTATAGTGTTGAAAAAACATGTGATCTCTGCAACCGAATCTATACATTATTGCTTCTGCATCCTGCACCACCCCTCACCTGAATCGTGGGGAGTATTTGTTGCTTTTATAAATGCGTCTGACCGGAGAACCTCCCGCTGCATTGTTCATTTGTGAAAGGAAACCTCGAGAGAAAATATGTCATGCTTGAAAACAGCTTTGGACGGTAACTTCCAAGAGAAGGGTGTGATATTTGAAATGAAACAAGCTTACAAAAATGCATTGTTTGACATTTTTGTAAAAGCGGTGAAACTTATTTTATGTTTCTTTAAAGTTGAAACTTGAAATGAAAACGACTTGTCATCGCTTTTTTTGAAGGGCGTTGTGCAAAGTCTGAAGGAATCTTTTTTATCCTGCTCTACAGCACATACTCCTCTCAATCCAGCTGGTCCTGCTGAAGGAGACACATTCCCAGACCCCCACAATGCCCTGGGGCATCAGGGTCATCGTAGAGGGGGGTAGGGTTTGGATGGGGGACTCCCTAGAGACGAAGGGGAGGAGGTGGATTGTGCTGACAAGAGAGGGGGAGGCGGTGGAGCCAAACATTTACCATGACTGTGTTTACTTTCTCAACAAAACCAGGTTACAGGGACAAACCAGGTTATGACTTTAAATCACAGAACAAGTTTAGTGTTAGTCCTGGTCGATCCAGAAGGAGTTCTTCCTCACTCACAACCTAGATGGGTCAAAGCCTGTCCTCCTGTGCATGTTGATGTAACAGCAGGGGAGCAACCAGTGCTCTGGTCAGGACTAGCTTCTCTCTCATCAGCAGAGTAGCTGCTAGCATCCTTACCACTGACTATCCCTAAAGAAAACTCTGATTTGATCAGTTTCATTATCTTTTCTTTGGTTCTTTGGTTCTTTGGTTCCTGATTTAAATTATGGATATAAATTGATATTTTGCACTGTTAAGGGGCAGCAGAACAGCTGGAAATATGTCTGAGATACCACGCTGCATTCTAATTATAAAGCCATAGCCAACGTAGTGTCATTGCTGCTCCGGAGGCTCTCACTAAGACATTTGCATTCAGAGAATATTACGAGGTTCTCCGGAGTTCAGTGCGTGTCTTAAAGCAGCTGAATCACAGTATTCACTCTCTGGAGCTCTGATCTGTTTTTATCTGAACCAGAGCATTGCGAACACGTAGCGAAATATCTGAGTTGTTTGATTTTTTTTTTTTTATCACTCAGTGACCTCTTTTACACTACACATTGTGAATTGAGTTTGTTTCAGCCAAATACACGAAGACAAGGTTTCTGTGTGGCTCTTTGTATTTATATTAATATTTAACATAAAAGAACTTTGATATATTTTGTTAATTAATCAAATAGTTTTTGGAGAGAAGTGTATTTAAGGAAAGCATTTAGAAAAGATAACAATGTACATGGATTTGACTGGTATTTTGTTTTTAAAAAGTGGCTCCTTTTTTCTCAGTTGACCTTATGGACCTCGTGGGTCGGTCCCTTTTTTCCGTTTGTCCGGAAGCCTTGTTTTACTTCCTCTGGTCCATCTGATCTATCCCCCTCTATCTCTTTCTCTGTGTCTTTGCCTTTCTCTCTGTCACACTCTGAAGCTGAAAATTGACTCTGAGCCCAAAACTCAGGGGACTGGACTCTTTCAGGGTGAGACAAAGGAGGAAAGAGAACTGAAACAAGTAGGCGGCATGACAGAGTCGGAGGTGACGGGGCATGATAGTGTGGAGAGGGCAACAGAAAGTCGAACAGTGAAGAAGAACATGATGTTAAGGCACATGCATGAGAAGTTTGGAAAGTTGTCATAATTGAAATATGAATTACTGTCATTATCTAATCAACATTTATTCCACAAATACACTGAAATCACACCGTTCCTTGACAAGTAGAACTAACCTAGCTTTAAGTTAGCTTACAGGGTCCTGTTTTGTATTTGGACATGTCATAAATCACCAGGAAACAGTGGGAAGGAAATCCAGTGGAAGGAAGATGAAAGAGATGAAGAGGTCACACCGCAGCCTTTTCTCTCTGAGTTGTTGTGAAACTCTGCGTGTCGAGTTACTGTTACTGTGAGGCCTCTGGGGGGACATCACTTACTGCCTGCTCCACAACACACACACAGAGACACATACACTATAGCAGTAGATGTACAGCACATGAAAGCATCTCACTGGATGAGCAAAGATTCCCTCAGAGTTTCTTAGCTCAGCATTCTTCACTTGAAACACCCAAGGTCAACCACCTATATCTTTTGCCTGAGCATTAGCTGTAACTTCACACTTGAACTGACTTTTCTACAATAACCCAAGATGCACAAATTAACTACACACATTAAATTATATCATTCTTTGAAGCTTTTAGACAAAACATTATTTGGGTTGGAACCTTAAAAAGTTCTTGGCTACAGCAAAAAAAATCAGGTTTTCAATAGTGCACCATGATTCCATCTGTGGCTGTGTCATATTCTACTGGTTGGAACGAGAAGATGAGGAAGGCAACAATCAAAAAGGCATGTGTGAAATAAACAGGGCACAAAAAAGAGAGACTGCAGCTTTCATTGTGCAACTCCCTTATTTAATGAGGGGTCCTTAATTACACATTTTCTGCTCAACAGCAGAACCAGTTCAAGAACCCAAGCTGGTGTTAAGGAGGTAAAAGAGAGAGAGAGAGAGAGAGGCAAACCTATTCTGTGATATGCTAGCTTAACCTTGCAGTGTTTGCACTGCACGCCATTACTGTTTTTTGACGGAGACTTTTTGGATGATGGAATTTTTGACCATCCTCACACATTACATTTGTACACCATTAGGAGAATAGAGCCTCTCTCATTCCACACATACTCCGTTCCCTCCCAGGAGTACCCAAGGTCAGGTTATAGATAAAGGGCCAACTAGCTGTACATTGTGGTGTCTACATTTGAGGACTTTCTTACCCAATTCAGATGGCCCAACAGAGAGGCACCAACTCCAACTATTGTGTGCATATCACCAGTGATAAGAAGTAAGGACACAGTGTGGTTTAGGAATGCATACTTAAGGCTAAACTATCCAATAGGAGAGTAGAAG